TTAGCATTCCTAATCTCTTTATCCGAGTATAAGCATGTAGTTTCTACATAAATATTGTCCATTTGAAAACTCTAAAGATATTTATTCTGTATCAATACTTTAAATTAAGAAAACAAACCAAAATTTGAAATACTAGTATCTATAGATACGCTTAATCTCTCCAACATATTTTATTTACTTATACTAGAGATAATTACTTATATTAACTATGCTTTTTTAGAAAAAATATCAAAGTCAAGTAAATATTTTACATGCTTTAAGTTACATATATTTAAGAGGACTTTTTTACTTAATCTAGATTACTTTAGTTTGTATTATTATCAGCCGTAATTTTTTCTTTCAGAGTAGCAAAAAAATACTCGTAACTTACTAAAGAAAACATGTGAAGCAACAACAATGCCCTTTAAATCTTCAGTTTGGTTTTATTCTCAAAAATTTTCCGTCTTAAGTTTTTGTGCAACTAAATTTGAAAATCAGTTTATTGTGAATATTCACTGAAAATATGTTTCAAAATTTCAGTCACCCACAAAAACTATATGCGCATTTCCTTTACTAATAAATTCAAATAAATAAATAAATAATTTTAAATATTTTTTAATTTTTATTTTAATTAATTAACCTTTTGGACTTATACTTTTTATATTTCATATGACAAAAATAACATTCAATATATTTTAAAAGTGATGTCAATTTGTTTCAAATAGGCTTAATGCTGTTTATTTGACAACTCTGAAAGTTAAAATTACATCTATTATTACAAGAACTTTGATACATAAATGTTTTTAATATTAAGCTTTTATTATTAAAATCATAATTCATTAAACAAAATTATTTAAAAAAATTTGAAACTGTAAGGGTTTATTCAAGAAAAGAACAATCTGAAAGCACGAAACAATGAACTTTCGAAGAACAATGAACGAATTCGAAGAACGTAAAAGGGCCCAAGTCGTTTCATGGTCTACTTCGGCTAATCTTTTACTTCAGTAGGGCCTGGTTGGACGGTGCGCTATCTCAACGTCCCACAATATATAAATAAGCAATGATGAACTAATTAAAAAGCACCCCCGGAGCAAAAATTGTTTTAAAAGCTTCTGCTCATGTTACAAATCAATTTTTTTATTGATAAATATGACCTTAAGCTTTACATACAATATAATAAATTGTTCAATAAAATAAATTGTTCAATCTACACATAAGTTGTTTTAGTGTCGAAATAGTTTTTAGACTATTTACAATATCCCTTCATGCAACACTATATCTTAGTACTTGCTGCTAAATTTGCACTTTTAAATGTCATCCATCACACAATACAGCCATCTATTCTTATGTCTTTGCGCTATATAGTGGTAATTGGTGCATACAGTATAATCGTCCATATAAAGGACATGCTCTGAATATCGGTGATGTTACACTTTTTGAAGTTTATCACATTTTTTCTTAATATATTTTCTAAAAGCTTCAATTTACTTCTATAGACACCATCTACATTTCGAACCGGGCCTTACATTTTCGATTTACTGTATGAAACAAAAAGTATAATTTTGTGTTCGTTATTCTGAACTTCATGCTATAAATTTTATTTATTTATTTTATATAGGTTTATTAAAACCTATATAGGTATTTATGTTTAAGTCAATATCGTTATATATTTGGGTTTATTTTATATATAGCTTGGAATTCTATAAAACAATCTCAAATATTGTTTCTAATTAAGATGTTTTTGGAAGATTTATAGCTTATTTAGACAGCACAACTAATTCTGTTTCAAAAAACCTGTACACATAACAAATCTTATTATACAACTTACTCATCCAAAGAAGTTTTAGAGCCTCTGAGTTTTTCCCTTATACGGTAACACAATTGGTCAATAGACATAAGTGGATACCTTGAAGAACTGGTATAACCTAACCTAATCTTAATTTTGTTACTCATATTTATATCGTTAAATATATATTGATATATCGTTTATAATATCGTTAAATGATTCTGCTATTATGAGTTATAAATTTAGTTTTAAGAATTTAATTAATTTTTTACAAATTATAATTTTCTTTGTCGTATTTTTTTTTATATGCAATTAGATATTATATTATTAATTTGATTTTTTAAATAATGAGTCAAATGAGCCGAATGAGTAAAATAAAATCAAAAGTAGATTTTAAATTATTTTAAAACAGATTTTAAAGGTTGCTGTCAGCTGATATCTGACCTTGAAAGCTTAACATAAAACTATACTTCTTAATAAAATTGATGTTAAACTATGTTTAGTAAGCTAAAAATGTTTTTAACGAAATTCTTTTAGGGGTGCTTATGTGAGTAAAAAATCGATTAAAGAGCGTTAAAACAATTTTCATACTCGCGCAAGCAGGACGAAAAGCTTTATAGCTTTTCAATACCGTTAAAATAAAGTATTGCCATGTATATGTTTTCGTTTCATAAATAATTTTGAGATAAACTTAAAATCTCAACAGACTACGATTTGCTTTTAAACAATTATTATTTTTCCATATTAATAATTTAATTGTAAATGATTTAAAAACAAACCTTCATAAATTAATAACAAATATAATACAATATAATAAACAAATATAATAAATAATAATAGTATATACTAATATAAAAAACGTTAAGCTTATTTAACATCAATATAAAATGAAATGGTTGGTAACCATATTTGTTTGTATCGTTAGTTATTGCCAACATATGGCTGTAAAATTGTTAAATTCTGTAGTATAACAATGAGGAAAGAGTGAAAAAAAATTATTAAATTATATTTAAATTAAAAATAAAAACAGTATGAGAGCACGTAAACGAGTTCATACTGATACATCTACAGTAAGTAAGGATGAACCCAAAGGTAAATTGTTTCAGTTCATACAAAGATCTACCTCTGACTGAAATTTTACTTCAGAAGTTGAAGAATCGAAACAGCCTGGCAGTATGTCGGAACTGCATAAAAAAATAGATAACTTGATTGTTATGGTTACAGCACTCACGGAAGAAGTGATTGCATTAAAGAAGGAATGGCGTCTGGAAAATAAGGATCCATTAAATATTAATAGTCATGGCAATATCAACGACATTATCTATCCTGAGAAACCATTCGAAACACCTGAAGCTTTCATCCAGTTCAATAATGAACTTAAATTAGAAGAAAAATTTGATTTGCTGGTATTAATTAATTATCATTAAAAATAAATATTACATTTGTTAAGTGATGTCGCCAAAGACCACCACTGTTGATGGTTATTTGTCTGTATCCGAGACAGACAAGCAATAATTTACTTAATTAAAAATTGAATATTTTCCATAGTATTGCGTTAATAATTTCTATTTTTTCTATTATTAATTTAAGGTAAATTGCTTTTTACAAAAATGCACCTATACGGTTAAGGCAAAATCTTTTATTTTTAACTGTTGGAAAACATTAATAACAGATGAAGCAGCCCAGCACTTCGCTTGGATAAACACAACTAATAAGACGTTAGTTCAAAATTTGTTAGCAACTGCTGCAATCAAAAGTAAATATTAGAATAATAGCAATAGTGTATTTACTTTTTTTTTGATTTTATTCTTAGAGGCATTCCAGAAGAAATATGGCGAAGATAACGTGAATGTTTTTGAGGAAAAATCTAAAAAATTTTTCTTAAATTCAAAGGACCGCTGTGTGAAGCGGAGGAAAAAACAATAAGCTTAGAAGATGATCCATAAAAAAGAGATAGAGAAGTGAGAGCTGATTCCTTAGTCTAAGAAATTTAAAGATCGTATCAAACGACGATGGGAAGTCCATTTTCAATATGTGTGTCTGTGTTGTACTCGTATCTAGTTCTATTTTTAAATATTTTAAAATAATTTATATTTAGTATTAAATATAGTTTAAAATATTTTAATGTATGTATTTTTAATTAAGTAGAAATTAAAACTATAAAATTTATTAATAACAATGGTTGTTATTTTATTTAATAAAATTTTTGACTATATATATATTTTCATTTATATTTATATTGACATTTTTAATTTAATAGAAATTAAAATTATAAAATTTACTCATAATTATAGTTGTTCTTTAATTTAACAAATTTATGACCATATATATATTTTTATTTATATTTATATCGATATCTTTAATTAAGTAGAAATTAAAACTATAAAACTTACTCATAATTATGGTTGTTATTTTATTTAATAAAACTTCTGGTTATATATATATATATATATATATAAAACAAGCGAAAACGATATTCGTAGCAGAAAATATCTTATGGTTAAAACAAAACTGTTTTTTTAACATATATCAATATACAGAAACCTTCAGAAGATCATTGATAGTATTAAAGGGAATTATATAAACATGTTTTTTGGTTGATAGAAAATATGCAATCTCAATATTTGACATTGAATTTAATGATTGAGACTGCTGTTAAATTAAAATTAGACAAAATTAAATTATGAAAAACTTTTGGTTAACTCTTGTAAAAAAAACAGTTTTTAAAGTCAAAAGTATATATATATAAATATTTTAAAACGTCTGGAGAATCACTGTAAGTAATAAAAAAAACAATATATTAATTGCTACATAGATACACTACCTCTTTATTTGATATTAGTTGAGACTGTTGTGAAGTTAAATTTAAACAAAATTAATCTGACATAAGAAACAGTTTTTAGAAGTCATTGCAGCAACTTATTATTAAGCTCTAGTTCATCTCTGAACTATTGAGCCTCTCTATTAAAGAAGGAAATAAACTGGAAAACAATGATACGAAGAAATGTGTAAAAGTAAAATCTTTAAACTAAATTTAAATGCTAAAAGTGGATTTAAGTTAAAACTTATGCGTTTTCTATTAATTGTTTACTAACTATATGGAAGTTTTAATTTATTTTAATAAAATTTGGTAGATTTATTTTACATTTATCGTTCGCAGACTTAATTCGAACTCAAATTTTGTATAAGCAATAAACAAAACTTTTTTCGGAATATTCATATGGAAACTATCGAGTATAGTCAAACAATTCAAATCCTTATATTTGATGTAATATATATTATGTATAATAAGATGTATATTTCTATAAAGTTGTAGTTTATTTCAAAAAACTAAAAAATGCTTGATACTCGAACAGAAAAAGGCAGACAGATTTAATTGGATTACCATAGTTCATTTTGCTAAACTGATCATGAATACAGATACTTTGTTATCGGAAACTGAAATACAAATACTATTTTTAGACATAGCTTAATTTCATAAAAATCTTAATTTCATCTTCGTTTCAGCGAAATTTAGTTGTTTTTTCCATACAAAATTTAGTTTTGAGGTTAGAACGAAATTAAGAAAAATTACCTTAATTTCGTTGAAACGAAGGATGAAATTAAGGGACATTTCAAATGCAACTATGCGTAAGAAAAATTTTAAGCAAAACATAAATTTGAGATAACGAAAAATGGACATTTTTTTCAAAATAAATGTCAATGACAGTTGACTTTAATAAAATCGGGATATATGGTATATTGAAAGTATTGCAAATTTTTAAATTTGAGTATAGAGAAAGAATTGTAACTGGTATTAATTTATAATATAATGAAAATATAATTCACATACCTGAAATACACTGAAGCTAATAAAACTACTGAATGTCATCCTTTATAGTTATTATAATCAACTTTTCAAATTTCACAGATACGAAATGTAAACAAAAAACATATGATTTCCTTAATTTGGGGCAGTATGAACACTTTCGAAATTAACTTAATTACATTTTTATGAAATTAAGGAAATTTGGCTATCTGAATATAGTATAACTTTAACAAAAGATAACGAAAAGGTATAATTTTAATTTTTTTTTGGCGATCCTGTTTATTGTGTGACAATCATTTATGAAAAATTATATCTGATAAATATTAATTATTATTAATTAATATTAAAGTATTAAAGTATTATTAAAGTAATTTAAAGTAATAAAGTATTAACTTAAACTGTATCGAATTGAAAATATATACGATGTTGTCCATTCGCTTTAAATTGTAGAATTGCCTACGACTTATTATCTTGTTTTTAACTTTGTAGTAGTTCGTTTCATTTGACTGTATCATTCATACATGGGTATGAAAAGATATATTAATGATGTACATATAGCTAATAAAATATTTTTTTGTAAAATTCTGGAAATGATTTCTACAAAAAATTTCTTAATAGTTATATATAAGGTCTGAAACATATATATAAGGTTATATATAAGATCGATATTGCAGTCAGATCTCAGTGGAATGTAAAATGCTGCATACTTTTCGCCCAATGCAATATCATATGTAATAACAGTCAATGTAGTAAAATGCATATATGGTTAGCTCAAAAATTTTAAAAGGTTTTAAACCATTGTAAACTATTTCTCCTTTATATACTTTTCTATGTTATATAATCTTATATTTATTAATCTACATAATAATAAGAAAATAGAGTTTACAATTTTTTACAAAGTAACATCAATTTCAAAAATCATATTTTTTAAAAGTCATCATCAATCAATCATATTTTTTGTCTTAAATTAAATTTACGTCACAATATTATCGCTTTAATACTAACAAAAAACATAGACATACTCGTAAAATTCTATGTTTTCGGGTAAGAATAGATATTATACATAGATATTATGCTATATGCAAATACATTTAGTTTACGGTTAATATGAAATAATATGCATTGTCTTTTTGTTTGAGGAGAAAATATGGTATTAAATAAATAAAAATAGTTTCTCTCTCCTTAACTCAACTCTATTGCATATCTCAGAAATAAAAGAATAAAATGGATTATGGAAAACATGCTTGCCTCTCTATATTAGGTAGTTTACGAATCATATTCATATATGTATATATAAGAATTTATGTACATATAAGTATATCATATGATATATATATCATATGATACATAATGCATAAATAATATAAATATATTTTTAACTATATTTATAACTAAAAAATTTAGTTCGTAAGTATAATCTGATATCGAATTTTTTTATATGTAAGATAATATACATTATCTATTAGTTGAAACCCTAAAACGAAATATGCACGGGAATAGAACTATTGGAAAATATGTCATATTTTAATATATAATATAATATTCTAAATGCTAATTATATAATACATGAATGTGAATCAAACTCCGATGGTAAAATTATTACCACTCTATATCTACAGTTTATCTATTAGTTCATAATCTATAGAAAGTTATTATTTTGCTCATAATCCGATTCTATAAAACAACACAATTGTCAAATTAAGCTTTAATTAAGTTCCTTAATTGTGTTGCCATATTGTAAATATTTATAATTTATTCAATAGTTTACTATGTTAAAAGTTTTTACTTTGCTCATTTGGTTAACTTCGTCACAAAAATAAGTTTATATCACAACCCAAATCGACACAAAAACGCGATTATTAAATTTAGATTTAATGGAGTTCGTAGTATATGGTTCAAAACGGAACCATAAATTCAAAAATTATGAACAAAATCAAGTTAAAATTAAGATTTGTTATTTGAACAAGTTTTGAATGAAACTAGCAGAATTAGTAATTCCAAGATCAAAGCCTATTCTGTATGAATAGGCTATACGATTGAACAATTTGCCATTATCTTTTATTTTATATGGTTTAATTATTTCAACTTTCTACAGATCTGCTTGAGGACATAAGGTACAAGTCTTGTCAGTTTCTACTTCTCTAATTGGATGTCATTGATCCAATTAAAATCTTATTTAATAACATAAACTTGAAATTTTATCTTTAAAATGCTATGTTTTACACATGAAGTTATCTGTGATATTTATGTTTATATGCTTATTAGTATACATATTCTTTCATAATGTATATGCAGCGCAGCGCCTTTCCTTATGTCGACAACGCTGAACTTAAATTTTTTTTAATTTTTTGGAAATGTATGGCAATCTGTTAGTACACCATGAAGCGTGATCAGTTTTATTTTGGTCGCTGATTGGGATGGTTGGTTGTTTGGTAGTGGCTTATATTATTTCAATTTAAAGTGTAAAATAATTCTTTTTTTATTAAATAAAAAATAAATCAACGCTTAATAATGGAATCCGAACAATATTTAACTTTCAACAATGGTCAGAAAATGCCGGTTTTAGGTCTTGGCACTTGGCAGGTAAAGTATAAAAATATATTTATATTTATTATTGTTTATAATTATATTTATTTTGTATGTATGTATTGTATTTGAGTATCTATTAATTAATAATTAATTAAAAAATAATTGCTAAGAAAAATAATTTGCATTAAGCATTCAATTTTTAAAAACCAGAATATTCAGTATTTCTTTGCCGCGCCCGTTAACGTTTGAATGCTTCAAATTTATCTTGAATTTTGCAAGCAAATTTCCTTTGACTCTGCAGTCTGCGGGTTGTTGGAAACTCTTGTGGTACTTTCTCCAGTGTTTAAAACACCACAC